TGTGTGTGTGTGTGTGTGGTATTAGGGATTGAACTCAGGGACACTTGACTACTGAGCCACAACCCCAGCCCTGTTGTGTATGTTTTAGAGACAGGGTCTCACTGAGTTGCTTAAGGTCTCAATAAGTTGCTAAGGCTGGCTTTAACCTCGCAATCCTCCTGCCTCAGCCTCTTGCACTGTTGAGATTAGATGTATATGCCACTACGCCTGGCTTCATGCATGTTTTAAGTGAAATGTTCAGGTGAGCTTGGAACGACTTTGGCTTGCTTTATGGGTTAGCCAGGGCAGATCTTGTGGTTGGTGCCATGTCACTGCACTGTTGTTTTTTTTTTGTTACAGACACACAAGCAGACTTCTGTTGGCCTCAGTCCAGCCATTTGAGCCAGAGTCTCAAAAAAAAAAGCATGAGTAGTAAGTTGGCCCAAAAGGCCAAGTGCCCTTAATAGTTGAGGCTTTGGTATTTCTTAATTTCTTGAAGACCTGTCTTCTTGGAGAAGCAAGTGAGTCAGGAGACCTTGGGTACCACATAAGACATACAAATGCTCTCCGAATCCTAAGGGAAATGGTCCTGGATCCTCCCCTACCTGGGATTAGCTGTAACAGTGCTTGTCTCGTGGTTAGTGAGAATCTTGAAGTGTAATATGGGAAACTATATGTGGCTCCTGCCACAGATAGATAGGGTACCCTTGGGAACTTGGTTTCTGAACCACACACTGGCAGAGGCTTCTATTCCTAGTATCCTCCCTAGTGCTGGACCTTGTGCCTGGTGCTACGGCTTATTTGTCTTCTGGAAGTGCACCTTTGTACATAGGGTGCCAGAGAGTCCAGGATAAAGTTAGTACTTCCCAATCCAGAATTCAAGACTTCAGTCTGCTTCTCTCTTGGCATTTTGTGATTTTGTAGCTTTCCTTAGCATTTTTCTCTCTCTGGCCTCATGATCTGGATTGTAGCCTTTTTTTCTAAACCAAGCTCAGTTCTATTCTCTAGCCTCAGCATCATTCCCTCCTGATCTTCTTTCTGTCCAGCTTTGGCTATTGTGTCTACCTGATTAACTCTTACATCTCTCTGAAAGTAGAAATGTTATCTTCTTCCTGTTTATATTTCAGTTGTTGTATTCTTCTTCTTCTTCTTCTTTTTTTTTGTTTTTTCCATGAACCCTTCTGAGAGTAATGTTTGATTGTTTGGTACTGGGGATTGAACGAAGCACATTACCACTGAGCTACATCCTCAACTTCTTACTTTTTTATTTTGAGACAAGGTTTTATTAAGTTGCTTAGGGCCTTAGTTGCTGAGGCTGGCCTCAAACTTAACAATGCTTCTACTTCAGCCTCCAGGGTCTCTGAGATTATTAGCATGTGTACACTGCACCCAGCAGTGTAATGTTTTTATTGGAGTAATATTTTTGAATTCGTAAAATAAAATGCATAGAATTTTAAGGAAAGCTAGTCTCAAAATAGTTTTTAAAATAGAGTAGTATGTTCTAGTTTATTAATACATTAAATAGCAAGGTCTTGTTTTAATCTAAGTTGTCTTAAGATGAGAGTTTTCCTTCAGTGATTAGGAGAAACCTAGAGAGAACAAAGATTTTATTACTTAGAGGGCCTACCAGGGACTTTATAGGATACATGGCATACCTGGAGGCTACTTACACAAGAGGTTAGGGAACATGAGGAAACAGACCACGCGTACACATACACACACGCATGCGTACACATACACACACTCTCACTTCTGACTCTAGGGCATTATTCAGACAGATTTCCCTTGAAAGTTTTAATTGATGTGTTTAAAGGAATCAAGCATGGGTTCCAGGAGGTGACAGTGAAGTAGTCACTCTGGCATATCTTCCCAGCCCATTCATGGTGTGAAGGTCAGCGGGGCCTTGAGTCCAGTAGGCTGGAACTGGGGGCTGGCTACCAAGAGAACAAGACACATACCAGGATCACTTGCATTGAGCAATTGGGAGAAAGTGGAGAATTGGACACTGGCCCTGCTTCTGGTATAAGAAAATTCAGTTTGTATTCAAAATGGATACTAGTTTGTATTCAAAATGGATACTAAGGCAACACAAAATTAAAAGAATTCATTATAAATCTAGAAGCAAGTCTTCTGACTACTATAATTTTAAATTTTTCATGCATGTGGATGATATTTCAAGATATGTTACCATTATAATATGAAATAAAAATAAGTATGTTCTGAACAGAGCAGGGAGGAAGAGCAGGAAGAAAAGATTAACATTAAACAGAGACATGAGATGGGTGGGAAAGGGAGAGAAAAGGGAAATTGCATGGAAATGAAGGGAGACCCTCATTGCTATACAAAATTACAATAAGAGGTGGTGAGGGGAATGGGAAAATAAACAAGGAGAGAAATGAATTACAGTAGATGGGGTAGAGAGAGAAGATGTGAGGGGAGGGGAGGGGGATAGTAGGGGATAGGAAAGGTGGCAGAATACAACAATTACTAATAGGGCATTATGTAAAATTGTGGATGTGTAACCGACGTGATTCTGCAATCTGCATTTGGGGTAAAATTGGGAGTTCATAACCCACTACAATCTAATGTATGAAATATGATATGTCAAGAGCTTTGTAATGTTGTAAACAATCAATAAAAAAAAAGTATGTTCTGTTGGTGACAGTCAAAGGTACTGCTAATACTGCCATTTGTCTACATTTCCAATTGAAGGGAACACTACATTTCACTTATAGTTAGTGGAAATAATGATATAATTTTTTCACCTTCTATGTTCAAGGCCTCTGATTTTATATCCAAATAAATTGTGGCCCTCAGATTACACACTCCTGTGCCAGAGTTTTCTCATAGCAAGGAGAGATGATGTTTGCTGACTGTCATGTTACTGCTCAGATTTGCTGCCTTTGTTCTGCTCCACTGGCCTGTCCCTCATAACCTCTAGAGAGTGCCTTGATTCCTAGCTTTGGACTCTGGTTTCTGTGTCTGAGTTGGTAGAGGGTTAGAATGTAGAGATTGTTTCTTAGGACTATGTCCTTGGTTGAAGGAGATGATTGAATTTTGTAAAAACTGGCAGGACGGAGTCCAGTTGTCTGTAGTGCAGGACCCAGGTTCTTTTCTCCCCAGACAGGAGGCTAAGGAGCATATGTGACATGCAGGGTGTTTTCCTGCTATGAAAGAATGTATGGTACCAGGCTTCACTGCCCTGTGTAGGCAGTGTGCTTTCTGCGTCTGTAGGAAAGAGTGGGTGGAGAGTCTGCCACTGGGAATGGATGGGTGTGCATCTCTGGCTCATGGAGCTGCCTCGCAACCTCTTTCTTCTTTTCCCTTCTAGGGCAAATTGGCCTCATTTTTCTTGTCTCGAGTGGATGCCTTGAGCCCTCAGCTCCAGCAGGTAAAGGAAGTGGGGAGAGAGGTACAGAACTAGGGATCTGAGCCTCTTATGGTTTATTATTAGCTTTTCTTTTATAGCTTTTGTGTTGTTTCCACTTCTCCGTGGTTAACATCACTAGTCTCGACTTTACTTTCCTATGCCCATCTGGACCCGAAAGCCTGACTGTCCCTTGAGCTTCCTTTGATTTCCAGCTCTTGGGTTTTAGAGGGGTGGGGGCTCCACAGCTGAGCTAGTTCCATCTGACCAGCTTTCTGCCCTTCCTCTTGCAGCTGGCCTGTGAGTGTTATTCCAGGCTGCCTTCCTTAGGGGCTGGCTTTTCCCAGGGCCTGAAGCACACTGAGAGCTGGGAGCAGGAGTTGCACAGCCTGCTGGCCTCACTGCACAGCCTGTTGGGGGCCCTCTATGAAGGCGCAGAAACGGGTAGGGACCAGGGTTAATGGTCAATAAGGACTGGGGAGCTTGACAGGAGGGAACAGGAGGGAGGTCCAGAGAGGCGGGGCAGTTGGTTGCTAGGCAAAATGGATGAACATAGCTGGTCATGTACCACCGATGAAAAAGGAAGGAATGGAAAGAAGATAGTATATGAGGTGATCGTTTGCTGCTCAGCTCCTGTTCAGAATGAAGGCCCTGGAGTGGAGACGCTGCTTTCCCCTTCAGAAGATGGTGATGCCCATGTCCTCCTGCGCCTTCGGCAGAGGTTTTCAGGACTGGCCCGCTGTCTGGGGCTTATGCTCAGGTGTGTGGGTATTAGAAGGAGCAGGGTCTTGGAATGGGAGAGTTAACTTCAACGTGAAGAAGGGAGACTGAGGTGGGTGTGGAGCCATGTTGGGGAGCCTGCTCTGAGGGTCTCCCTGTTCTTATTTTCTTTAGCTCTGAGTTTGGGGCTCCTGTTTCCGTGCCTGTGCAGGAAGTCCTGGATCTCATCTGCCGGACTCTCAGTGTCAGTGGCAAGAATATTGTGAGTGGACTTTGTCCTTTATACATAGCCCTTGTTCAGGACTTTGGGCAACTAGGAAAGCACTGTGACTTGAAGCTCCCCAAACAGACTCATCTCTGAAGCTGTCCCAGATGGCTCCTTATTTCTGTCCAAATACCATAACTCACTGTGCTTCCCTGACACAAGTGCCAGTGTCAAAGTAGATTTTCTCACATAGCCAGTGCCTCCTTACTGGAAGGTGACTTTGGGGATCAGCTGAGTCGTTACTGAGAAGCTCAGCCATCCTCTCGTTATCCTCCATTTCAGAGTCTTATTAGAGGATTGGAGTTTGTTTTTGTGTGAGCTGTGGCCAAGGAGTAGGTTCCTAATTATTTGTACATAATGTATAAAGTCACACTCTTCTGCTCTTTCTCTGGCTCTTGCTTTCTTTTCCCAGTCCTTACGTTTGCTGATATTTTTTTTCTCTAGAGCTTGCTTGGAGATGGTCCCCTGAGGTTGCTATTACTGCCGTCTATCCACCTTGAAGCCTTGGACCTGCTCTCTGCACTCATTCTTGCGTGAGTGGGATTTAGCTGGGTGTGGAGAAGGATCTCCAGCCTGCTGGAAATGAGCGTCACCATTCCATCTCTGCCCTCAGGTGTGGAGGCCGGCTCTTACGCTTTGGGGCTCTGATCAGTCGCCTGCTCCCCCAGGTCCTCAATGCCTGGAGCATTGGTAGGGATACTCTCTCTCCTGGCCAGGAGAGGCCTTACAGGTGATCATCCAGGAGGGATAAAGGGGAGAGGGTGAGAAGGCATGCAGGTGGTCCTGGGGCTCTGGCACAGCCAATTTCCATTTATAACCTACCCTCTTTGCTCATACTATAGCACTATTCGGACCAAAGTATATGCTATCTTAGAGCTGTGGGTGCAGGTTTGTGGGGCCTCAGCAGGGGTGCTTCAGGGAGGAGCCTCTGGAGAGGCCCTGCTCACTCATCTACTCAGTGATATCTCCCCACCATCTGATGCCCTTAAGGTGAGTGAGAACTTATCTCCTGTGCCCTTTGTCCAAATGTGCCTCTTCACTACACTGTCTCCTACCTCTGTCCTGCCTTTCTGTTTGCCTCTGTATAACCTGATTAGTGTTTTCCTCTACCATCAGCTACGCAGCCCTCGGGGGAGCCCTGATGGGGGTTTGCAAACTGGGAAGCCTAGTGCCCCCAAGAAGATAAAGCTGGATGTAGGGGAGGCTATGGCCCCACCCAGCCACCGGAAAGGAGAGAACAATGCCAACAGTGATGTCTGTGCAGCTGCGCTGAGAGGTTGGTGACACCTGGACCTGTGTGGCTCTGGGAAGACTTGGAGCCATAGCCCGCAGAAGGAGCAGAAGCAGCCATGCAGCTATGAGGGCTGCAGGTGGCGTCTTGGGTCCTGCTATTAGACTGGGGTTCTGATAGTTCATCTTGCCCTTCCAGAGTCTCATTTCTCTCCTTTCATTTACATAACAGACACTTTGTACCCATGTATTAGATACAATTCTAGCTCTTGGGGGAAATCCCTGCCTTTGGAACTCACATTCCCCTATAAGGCAGGATGCCTGGTGGAGCTTCCTTGCCTCCAGTGCAACCACTAATCTATCAATAGAAGTTAGTAATTGGATGCTATGCAGTTAATGGGTGACTTTCTTTTGGCTCCCATGTATTTCACTCTCCCCCACCCCATGTGAAGCAGGGAGTCAACTGTCCAAGTACCTAAGGGCACATTTATAATAGTGTATCTCCATTATCTCATTTAAGTATTATCAATAGCCTTATATCCTAGAGGGGCTTTTATGGTCCCCATTTTATACATGAGAAAGCAGACCAAGGGAAGGAAATAAATGCCTTGCCCAGGGTGCTCAGTGGCAGCCGGATGCTATTGTTGGGCTGTATGCTTCAGAAGCCTTCAGTCTTTATCTTGTCAGTAGCCTGCCTACAGGTCACATACTATTCTTTTTGCCAGGCCTCAGCCGGACCATCCTCATGTGTGGGCCTCTCATCAAGGAGGAGACTCACAGGGTTAGTGGAACATGTTCTCCATGGAGCCTGGGGGTGGGGGCTGTTGCTCTTTGCATGTGTATGGGGGATGCCCCTAAGGTGGGTCCATTGAAACCTGGGAGGAGGCCCTGAAGACGGTCTGGGCATTCTTGGCCAAGTTTCTAGGTGTGCTCTGTGTCCTTTTCAGAGACTGCATGATCTGATTCTGCCTCTGGTCATGGGTGTCCAGCAGGGTGAGGTCCTGGGCAGCTCCCCATATACCAGCTCCTGTTGCCGCCGTGAGCTCTACCGCCTGCTGCTGGCGCTATTGCTGGCGCCTTCTCCTCGCTGCCCACCTCCTCTTGCCTGTGCCCTGCAAGCTTTCTCCCTTGGTCAGCGAGAGGACAGTCTTGAGGTAACTGCTCACTGGGCCCGAGACCCTCTTTGATTATTGGATTCTCTTGTTATGCTGGCCCATGAGACCATGTATTCTTGAGGGTCACAGTGGCCTTTTCTTCCTTCCTTAGGTCTCCTCTTTCTGTTCGGAAGCACTGGTGACCTGTGCTGCTCTAACTCACCCCCGAGTTCCTCCTCTACAAGCCATGGGCCCCACCTGCCCCACACCTGCCCCTGTGCCCCCTCCTGAGGCCCCGTCTCCATTCAGAGCTCCGCCTTTCCAGCCCCCAGGCCCTATGCCTTCTGTAGGTCCCATGCCTTCTGCAGGTCCCATGCCCTCAGCAGGCCCATTGACCTCTTCAGGCTCTATGCCCTCAGTAGGCCCAATGCCTTCCGCAGGCCCCATGCCCTCAGCAGGCCCCATACCCTCTGCAGGCCCTGTGCCCTCAGCACGCCCTGGACCTCCAGCCACAGCCAACCACTTAGGCCTTTCTGTCCCAGGCCTGGTATCTGTACCCCCTCGGCTCCTTCCTGGCCCTGAGAACCATCGTGCAGGCTCCAGTGAGGACCCTGTCCTTGCTCCTAGTGGGACTCCTCCACCCACCATCCCACCAGATGAAACTTTTGGGGGGAGAGTACCCAGACCAGCCTTTGTCCACTATGATAAGGAGGAGGCATCTGATGTTGAGATCTCCTTAGAAAGCGACTCTGATGACAGCGTGGTGATTGTGCCTGAGGGGCTTCCGCCCCTGCCACCCCCACCACCCTCGGGCACCACTCCTCCCCCTGTTGCCCCTACTGGGCCCCCAACAGCATCCCCTCCTGTGCCAGCCAAGGAGGAGCCTGAAGAGCTTCCTGCAGCCCCAGGGCCTCTCCCTCCGCCCCCACCCCCACCTGTACCTGGTCCTGTGACACTCCCGCCACCGCAGCTGGTCCCTGAGGGGACTCCTGGAGGGGGAGGACCCCCAGCTCTGGAAGAAGATTTGACAGTTATTAATATCAATAGCAGTGATGAAGAGGAGGAGGAAGAGGAAGAGGAGGAAGAAGAAGAAGAAGAAGAGGAGGAGGAGGAGGAAGAATTTGAGGAAGAAGAAGAGGAGGAAGAAGAGTATTTTGAAGAGGAAGAAGAGGAGGAAGAAGAGTTTGAAGAAGAATTTGAGGAGGAAGAAGGTGAATTAGAGGAAGAAGAGGAGGAAGAGGAAGAGGAGGAGGAAGAAGAGTTGGAAGAGGTTGAAGAGTTGGAGTTTGGCTCAGCAGGAGGGGAGGTAGAAGAAGGTGGACCTCCACCCCCAACCCTGCCCCCAGCTCTCCCTCCTCCAGAGTCTCCCAAAGAGCACCCTGAGCCAGAACCAGAGCCTGGGCTGCTGCTGGAAGTGGAGGAACCAGGATCAGAAGAGCAGCATGGGACTGAGACAGCCCCTACCCTAGCCCCCGAGGTGCTCCCTTCTCAGGGTGAGGAAGAGAGGGAAGGGAGAAGCCCAGAGGCAGGGCCACCTCCTCAGGAGCTTGTTGAAGAAGAACCCTCTGCTCCTCCAACCCTGCTGGAAGAGGGGACTGAGGGTGGGGGTGACAATGTGCCACCCCCACCAGAGACAGCTGCAGAAGAAGAGATGGAGACAGAGACGGAGGCTGCAGTTCTCCAGGAAAAGGTGAGAGCCAGGTGGAGAAACACTCTGGCTAGAAAGGTGGGGCTGGTGGGGAAATGGGGTGCAGCTGCTTTTATTAGGGAAGAAGTTTGCCACTTTTCTATGTATACCTATGTATCTGTTTCAAATCTTATGTCTTTGTTCCTAAAAGGAGCAGGATGACACAGCTGCCATGTTGGCTGACTTCATCGATTGCCCCCCTGATGATGAGAAGCCACCACCTACCACGGAACCTGACACCTAGCTCTCTTCCACATCCCAACACTTTGTTTCCAATAAAGTTATATCCTTAGATATTGATGTGGCTTCTGACTCTTGCCACAATATATCCCCGGCCAGGAGCCCGGAGTTCTCAAGGTATCCAGAGTCTCTAAGTGTTCCTGCAGCTGTCATGTTGTCTTTATTGTATAGAGGAGGAAACACTGATTTATAGAAGAAATGGAGGTCTTGTCACTCAGCAAATTGAAGAGTCAGAATTTTTGCTCTCTGCTTTCATATAATACTAAGTATATGCAAGGATGCGTGTATGGCTAAGACTGCAAGGAATTAAAAGATGCAGCCCTGCTTTTGAGTTTATGTTTAGAGGTGGGAAATAATGTAAGAATTTAAGGGAGTAAGCAGCCTGCTGAGTGAACCTGTGCCTGTGCGCATGCAGTCTCTTGCTCTGAAAGCAAACGGATTTTTTGTGGTAGTGCGGGGACACTGGGGATTGAGCTCAGGGGAGCTTAACCACCGAGCCACATCCCTAGCCCTTTTTTTTTTTTTTTTTTACTTTGAGATACAGTTTTTGACGCTGGCCTTGAACTTAGATCCTCCTGCCTCAGACCACAGAGGCTGGATTACAGGTGTGCACCACCGCATCTGGCTCAGACTGAAGTTGATTGAAAGTTTTGTCATTAAATTCTGTGCATTGTGAACTTTGGGTACCCCATATTAAAGGGGCATTGTCAGTGGGGCTGGGGAGTGAACTTTGTCCTGGGGCCAGTCCTTTGACAATCTCTCTGTTCTCCTAACACCTCATGGGCAGGAATTTTATAAGCATATCCAGGGGCTGCTCACTCTTGATACCTGGGTATTCTCCAATTAGTGTGTGGTGCATTTAAGCAGTTAATATTTATTCTAGGTCTTGTTTAGGAACCATGAGCCTGAAGCTGTTTGTGAGGTACCAAGAGTTATGGGCTTGAGATGGGGCCCCATGATGTCTTCATTCAGTCTATTGATGTATGAACACAAGTAAAGACTTTAGGAATACAGAAAAGAGTCATTTCTTCTTTCTGTGTATGCCTTGAAAGCATTTGAACTAGTATGGTTTAAAAAAAATTTTCCCCAAACTTGTTTTGAAAAATTCCAAATCCCCAGAATAGTTGTAATAATATAATACATAGGACTCACCAGTTGTTAATATTTAGCCCATGTAACCGTCTATATGTAGACAGAAATCTGGAGGTACACATTCCTCTCTGTGAGACCATGTGAAAGTTAGTTGCAGACATCATGTACCTTTTCCCTCCAATTCTTCAACATTCTAAAGATTAAGAACACTATCATGATACAATCATCAAATTTAACAAAAGTAACTAATTCAATAATACAGATAATCCCTTGTGACGATGATAGTTGACTTTAGGGTTTTTTTTTTTTTTGGCTTTACATTGATGTAGGCTATTATTTGTTTTAAACTGACTGGCTTAAGATAATAAGGATTGCATTCCTTTTTTTTCACTCTCAGTATAGTATTCAACAAATTACATGAGATATTTAGTACTTTATTATAAAATATTTTGTCAGATGATTTTGCCTAACTCGGGGCAAATTAAGTGTTCTGAGCTCATTTAAGGTAGGCTAGGCTACACATGGTCAGTAGGTTGGGTGTGTTAAATGCAATATTCAAAAACATTTCAAATTTATGATAGGTTATTGGAATGTCAACGTAAGAGGAGGAACATCTGTATTATATATGTTGTGATAAATCTCCCTTATTGTCCCTAAAATGTCTTAGAGCTGCTCCCCCACTTCCTTCTGAATCAAGTTCAAGAGTTTTCACTACGTGGAGAAGGCTGTTTTAAAGTCCAAGGCTCACTGCAAGGACGGAGGTACAGAAGTATAAGACCTCTGGCAATAGTGAGTTTTCAGAAAAGAACCAAACCTGATGTCTGGAAATTGTAGATAGGTGAAGTTGATATTGATCTTGGGAAGAGGCTAGCACAGATATTTCTCAATTTGAACTGTATTCTAAATAGTCACCCAGATTTTCTCCTTAAAGTAGCCAGTACAATCAGTATTCACATGTTCTTCCAGAGATATTATATATATTTGTGGATATATTTATGTACACACACACAAATATACATTCTATTTTTTTTACACAAATGATAATATCCACAATTTAGTAGAGCACTTAATTTCACTGTTGTGGGGAGTTATTCAGGAAATATTTATTTAGTACCATTATGCCCTAGGTACATATATTAATATATGTATATTTGAAATAGATAAGATACACAAGAGTTTGCAAATATGGTACAGAGGGGAGGACTATTGAGGTACCCTTTACCCAGTCCCCTCCCTCCCTCATGGTTAACATGATTTTAGTACAATGTCAAAACCAGCCATTTTATGTTGATACACTGATAGGTGCTATTTTCCAAGCTGATGATAAAGCTTGGAAATGGACAAAAATCTCTGTCCAGTCTTTATGGGATTTGTTTTCTAAATGTGACCAGGTGTGGTGGCATTCATCTGTAATCCTAGCAGCTCAGGAGGCTGAAGCAGGGACAATCACAATTTCAAAATCAGCCTCAGCAATTTATCAAGGCCCCAAGCAACTCAGTAATACCTTGTCTCTAAATAAAAATACCGAAAAAGGGGCTAGGGATGTGTCCCCTGTTAGATTGTGACAAATACCTTAGGAAAATAAGGAAAGGGGGCTTAGATTTGTGAGGGTATGTGTGTTTTCCAACACGTCTTCCCCCGCTTCTGGGGATTGAATCCAATAGTGCTTTTAGCACTAAGTCCTTTTTTAAAATATTTATTTTGAGATAGTGTTGCTAAGTTGACAAGGCTGGCTCAGATTATAGGTGTGCACCATACCCTGGGTTGCTGAAGAGTTTTAAGCAGAAAATTGACAATGTGATTTGTATGTTAGTAGGATTCATTGGACATTCTTGGGGAACAGATGAAAGGGAATAAGGGTGGTAGCAGAGACCCCAGTCAGGAGCTCATTCAACCAAGGTGGTAAAAAAATGGTAGGATTCTAGATAATCTTTGAAGGTTGTATGGACAAACTTATTCCATTTCAGTTCATAGGGAGTTCCCCATTTCTCTTTTGGACAGATGCCTAGAATTTAATTATATAATAATTTAAGAAACCAGTCCCTGGCTTGTAGATATTTAGGTTGATTATCTTTTACTGCCACAAAACAGACATGTACATGTATGTGCATGATATGTGTACGTGTCATTTTTCATTTGAGTATGTGTTAGATAAATTCCTAGAAGCAGAATTGCTGAGTCCTTCCTTGGATTTGTACCAATTTTTGCTTCCATCAAGAATATGTTTCCCCAGATTTTTGCCAAATTGTATTGAATCATGTGATCCTTTGCCAGACGTTCAATGGCAAATCAACATGTTTTGAGCTTTTTTAAAAAAACATGTTTAAGATATTCTAAATTTCCTTTTCTGTGAGATGTCCACATCCTTTGCCTAATAAGTTTTCTGTTTTTTCTTGCATCATAACTCTGTGGATTAGGAAATTTAGCTCTTTGTAATAAGGTTGCTTTTTTGCAGTTTGTCTTTTAATGGTTTATACTGTTTTCCATGCTGAATTTTTTTAGCTTATTTTTATTTTATTTTATTGAATTTATGTGTTTTAGGGCTATTGGGTTTGGCTTGATTTTCTTTTCCTATTTTTTTTTTTTCCTGGCAGTACCTCAAACATGCTAGATGCTCTACTACTAAGCAACACCCCTATCTCTTCAGGTAATATTTTTTAGAAGCCTAGAGTGAGATTGGGAAAGTCTCACATTTTTTTCCTCTAAGATTTTTATGATGCCATGCCTTTGTAGTACTAATTTTTATGGTTTTAAGTTTTAGGAGTTTTTGTGCAAAAATTGAACCCAGGGATTCTTTACCACTGAGCTATATGACCAATCCCTTTTTTCATTTTTTAGTTTGTTCTTTTTAAATATACACAATAATAGAGTGTATTTTGACATATTATGCATACATGGAGTATAACTTCCCATTCTTGTGGTTGTACATGATGTGGAGTTTACACTGATCATGTATTCAGATATGAACATAGGAAAGTCAAATCTGGTTCATTATGTGATCTTTCCTATTCCCATCCCCCCACTCTTTTCTTCATTCCCTTTTCTTTAGTACAATGAACTTCTATTTTTCCCTTTCCTTGCCACTCCTCCCCGCCTTATTGTGTGTTAGTATCTACATATCAGAACATTCGGCCCTTAGTTTTTTTCAAGATTGGCTTATTTCAATTAGCATGATAGTCTCTACTTTCATCCATTTGCTGGCAAATGCCATAATTTCATTTTTTATGCCTGAGTAGTATTCCATTGTGTGTATATACCACATTTTCTTTTATCCATCATCTATTGAAGGGCACCTAGTTTCCTTTTTTTTTATGTTAAGGCAGGTTCTTGCTAAGTTGCCCAGGCTGGCCTTTAACTGTAATCTTCCTGCCTCAGTGTCCTGAGTCACTGGGATTATAGGTGTGCATCAGTGTACCCTGCTCTCAGTTTTTATTTTTTATTTATTTATTTATTTTTTTAAAGAGAGAGTGAGAGAGGAGGGAGAGAGAGAGAGAATTTTTAATATTCATCTCTTAGTTCTCTGCGGACACAACATTTTTGTTGGTATGTGGTGCTGAGGATCGAACCCAGGCCGCACGCATGCCAGACGAGCGCGCTACCGCCTGAGCCACATTCCCAGCCCTCAGTTTTTAATTTTAAAGTTTTCTTCCATTTGGAATTTATTCTAGTGTAAAGAATGAGGTACAGACTCAACATTGCACTGGGTGCACGCCTATACTCCTCCCAGTGATTTGGGAGGCTGAGACAGGAGGATCGCAAGTTCAAAGCCAGTCTTGGCAATTTAGTGAGGCCCTAAGCAATTTAGCAAGACCCTGTCTCAAAAAAAAAAAAAAAAGGTGGGGGGCCCTGGGGAATATAACTCAGATGGTAGAATGCTTGCCTCACATGCACAAGGCCCTGGGTTCCATCCCCAGCACCACAAATAAAAGCAGGGGTACTGGGGATGTGGCTCAGTGATAGAG